AGTTTCACCTAGAAATCGATCTAAAATCCTTGAAAATACACCCTAAAATTCGGACAGAATTTACTCCTTATCAACACTAATTTATTAGTTCATTAGTTCATTCCAAGCCAACTTTAAACATGTTTTAGTTCACTTAAATTTAGTCCAAGTTCAATCCAACCCATCACCACATACTTGGAAATTTTTCAAAAAATCATAACATCATAAATTATCACAACAAGGCATCCATACATAGATTTATCCCAAGCATCAAGCATATAACTATTGAAGATTATTACAACCCATGAAATAAACACTAACAAAATAACTTAAAAAAAATAATTTAAGACATTAATCAGCTAAGAAATGAAACCTACTTACCTCTTTTAGGTTTGATTAGAATTTCTTTAGCTCTTTTTCTTTCCTTTTTCCCTTTTCTTTCTCTTTTCTTTCTTTCTCTCTTTTTGCTGTTTTTCTCTCTTCAATTTGGCTTCTCTTTTTAATTCTGGATGGCTATGGTTTTTGGCCTAAAAATGGCAGCCATTTAACCCTCTCTTTCCCTTATATACCCACCTTTTATCCTCTCATTTATTTATATCATAAGTGTTACAATTTAACTAGGTCAAATGTAAAGCGAAGGAAGCTTGGAAGGCAAAGCTGGCATGTATTGGAAGTCAAAGGTGATGATTTGGCTTCTAAGCATTTAATTCAAGTGCTTAGGTGGCTAAAGAAAACTTAGGATAAATAAAAACATCAATAAACTGGGTTAATGTAATTAGATAAAATTTCTTTCATAAAAAATTCGAAAATTTCCATTTTTAAAATTCGGAATTTCTTTTTCTCCAAAATTTCAGCAGTGTTACCTCCTAACCCATCTATACTAAAATATGCATAACGCTTTCTATATGTATCCAAAATTTATGAAAGTTTATAGAGAGCTAGTAAACACATAGACAAAAAACTTTTATTCTTTACGTTTTTCTCAAAAATCAATCTAACAGCATCAAATAAATCTCACAAGATTCGGGCAGATTCTTCTCCCAAAATTCCAGCAGAATGCATTTCGAAACAACCCTTACTATAATTGGTATAACTCTTAATGTATAGGTCTAAATATTATAAAATTTTATACAGGCCTATTAAACACATAGATGAACAACTTTCATTCTTTAAGTTTGACCCAAAAATTAATCTAAAGTCCTCAAATAATTCACATAAAACTCGGGCAGAATATAGTCCTTAAAACACTGATTTTGCATATTTGATTTCTTTAATAATTAAACCATTAATCTTAAGCATAATAACTTTAATTTAATATAAATCACATATTTCAAGCATTAATTTCTCATGATGAAATGATAATTATACTTACTCTTAATATACATATATATAGAATTATTCTAATACACGTCGCGTTACGAATAAGGGTTTTTACGGGAGTTACAGTTCGAGCTCATCCATTGACTATCCAATGATAGTTCATTCACTTAATGTTCAAAAAGGACATTTTCAGCTTTGAGAAGATTACAAAGAACTTCTTGATCATGAAGTATCATACCTTCATACAATTGGTGCATTAATATATCTTACTAATAATACCCAACTTGATAAAGCATTTTCTCGTAAATTTAGTAGCAAGATATAGTTCGCTCTAACACGAAGACATTGAAATGAAATTAAATATGTACTATATTATTTTCAAGGAATAATTGATATAAGTTTATATTACTTTAATAAATTAAAAACATGATTAATTGGTTATACAACACATATTATTTATCTGATCCACATAAATTTCGATCACAAACCGATTATGTATTTACATACGGTGATATAGCTACATCATGATATTCTATGAAACAAACTATAGCTTTCACATATTTAAATCATATAAAAATACTAGCAATCCATGAGGCAAGTCGAGAATGTTTTTAGTTAAGATCAATAATTCATCATATTCGAGAGACATGTGGTTTATCCACTAGTAAGGAAGTTTCAACAATATTGTATGAAGGTAATACTACTTACATAGCTCAATTAAAAGAAGGATGCATAAAAGGTGACAGAATAAAATATATATCACCAAAATTATTTTTCATAAATGATCTTTAACGAAATGGTGATATTAATGTTCAAGAAATTAGATCAAGTGACAATCCAACAAATTTGTTTACCGAGGCATTATCTATCACAACTTTTGAGAAGATGATTCACAAGATTGGAATGCGTCATCTTAGAGATCTTAAATAATTTTTTTAATACGAGGAGCCCAATATGAGGATTAATGTGTACAATGTACTCTTTTTTTTTCACTAGGATTTTTTCTCATTGGGCTTTTTCCTATTACGATTTTAAAAAGACATGTTCCTTGTACAATGGACATCAATGGGGAGTGTTATGAAATAATGAATATCCATATGAATGTTTATATACTTTTTATATCCCCATTACTCATAATTCTTAATGTGATTCAATTTACCATTCAATATGAAAAAATGAAAGAGAATAAATTAATTCAACAATTTATACGCTTTTAATTATTCATAGTCCATTTCAATTCTCTTCTTAATTTTGAAGCCTATAAATAAGCTTGATTATTCATTAGTTTCCGAACAAATATTTTGTAGAAATTGAGAGAATTGTCTAGAGTTGTTATCTCTTATATTTTTTTTATTTTATAGTAATTTTTTTTAATCATTTTTATCATTATCTTAACAATCTTTTGCGATTATTATTATATTTTTAACAAAGAATACATTCATTAGATTTTTTCTATCATTTGTACAATGGATATTCAAGGGAGAGTGTTATGAAATAATGAATGTCCATATGAATGTTCATCTACTTTTTATATCTCCACCACTCATAATTCTTAATGTGATTCAATTTGCCATTCAATATGAAAAATTGAAAGAGTGATGAGATTAATTCAATAATTTATATATTTTTAATTATTCATAGTCCATTCTAATTCTTTTCTTAATCATTTTTCTATCATTTTTACCATTATCTTAACAATCGTTTGTGATTATTATTATATTTTCAACTAAGAATACATTCACTAGAAATTAAGAGGGTGATGAAATTAATTCAATAATTTATATATTTTTAATTATTCATAGTCCATTCCAATTCTTTTCTTAATTTTGAAACCTATAAATAAGTTTGATTATTCATTAGCTTGTGAACAAATATTTTGTAGAAACTAAGAGAATTGCCTAAAGTTATTATCTTTTGTATTTTTTTTATTTCATAGTGAAATCATATTTCTATCATTTTTACTATTATCTTAACAATATGTTACGATTATTATTAAATTTTCAACAAAGAATACATTCATTAGATTTTTCCTTTGAACTGGCATTTTACTGAAAGTTTCTTTGAAAAATATGCTTAAATATTTACCGCAAATTAGAAGTGTTATATATATTAAAAAAAATACAAATTGAGATGTTTTCTATTACTTCTCGACACACTGGTTAACCAAGTCTTTGCTTTAATAAATTATCTAGCATCATGGACGTAACGCCTAGGATATCGACAAGGCATGAACCTCCTTTTCAATTTTGCTTCTACAAGTATAACTCATAAATAGACAACTCTGAGGAACAATCTCAAATCAAATATTAGTATTCACTTATTTGTAGCCTATTGTATTTATTATACTATTATTAGTATTCTTTATTTTTTTGTTCATGAAGAACAAGTACGTGGCTTCCGATTGTTGAAGAAGGCAAAGATTTAAAGGATCACAAGTTCATAACTTCGACGAAGTGTCCAATCTAATCTATTAAAAAAGGCACCGGCACTCAAACTAACTTCTCATAAAATTACATTTTTTTTTTTTTTTGTCATTCCTTGAATCAATTAACAAGGTGCATGACAAAGTATAGTATATTAAACAATTTCAGTGTCCTAATCAAAATGATATAGGCCGAAGAGGACCAAAGGACGATAATGGAGTTATTGGCCTCTTAATGACATTTCCTAAAGTTCTAGATATTTAATCCCAAATATCACCTTTCAGTTCCCTCTAGAGACCCGTTGGACCTTCCAGGCCCATTAAATTTAAGAACTGCTTTCCCTTCTAAAATTCCAATAATGCTCCTGGTCAAAACGCAGTTGAAGCAGCTCAATCCTCCATTGGAAACAGTTGTAGTGACCTAATCCCAAAATTCTTGTTTTAAGAGCATCAACTAAACATCTTTGCTTCTAGGTTGTGTGGTATCCTATGATGCATTCACAGAGGCAACCTAATTTCAAACTATAGCTGCTTTGACAATTTCATGAACAAAAAGACAGGTCTTCAGCATCTCCCTCTTTTTTTTGTCCAAACAAAATTCCAAAAAATTAAGTAAAATGAAGGGCATTGTTAGTAATGAGCCCAAAATCAATTGACAAAACCCAACAGAAGCGACAATCTTCTCATTTTTAATAGATTAGATTTGAGCATTTTCCGTTTAAATTCCAAAATCAATGTTCAATCTAGTCCTGGTTCAACTAATTCTTCCCTTTTCACGCCTACAATTATGAAATTCCTGATTAATACATGTCATGCCAAAGCAAAACTAAGAGCAAGCTCAAAGCTGGTAGCTGGAGTATAGCATATGGGACTTGAATGGAACGAAATAACATTTCTGCAGCTTTTAGGCTTTGAATTTCTGAATTAACATTCAAATTCAGTATCAATTGAATCCCAAATGATTTATGTTGTTCGAATAATTAGGTTACTTTTAGTGATTCATAAATCTTCTCAGTATACAAACAGAATCCAATGTAGGAGATTGAATCAGAAAATTAAAGACAATCATAACAAACCAAAATCAAAATTAAGTACAAAAGCCTTTCATTTAGATCAAGCATCAGAAGAGAGTACTAGACGCTTTGCGAGTAGAAGAATCAGACACCTACCACCAGTTCTAGTAAAGCTACAGCCTAAAGCCTATCCACCCACATACCAAAGACGAACAAAAAATAAAAACCCTAAATCGAACGGCGGCCCAGAAAACCACCATTTCCCATTAACCACCAAAACCATAGAGAGTACGCCCTTGCCTCTTCAAAGCATACACAACATCCATAGCAGTCACTGTCTTGCGGCGAGCGTGCTCAGTGTAGGTCACAGCATCACGGATGACATTCTCCAAGAAGATCTTGAGGACACCTCTGGTCTCCTCGTAGATAAGACCACTGATACGCTTGACTCCACCACGCCTAGCCAGACGACGGATAGCAGGCTTGGTTATACCCTGGATGTTATCACGAAGAACCTTACGATGCCTCTTGGCTCCTCCCTTTCCTAATCCCTTACCTCCCTTTCCTCTTCCTGACATTTTTCAGGATCCCTTGTTTTCTTCTCTCTCTAAAAACTCGAATTGTTATTTCTGATTTCTGATTGCAATTTGATGTGTGGCTTTGGAACACGGAGGCCTTTTTGTTTTTATAAGGGAGGAAGCGGCGTGGTAGCCATTGGATTAGGTAGCAATCCGTGTGAAGGGTGGGGTTTGGGTTTTGGACCGTTAGATTTTAAAAGGTTGAACCTGATTGGAGGAAATGAGGGGCGGGATTGTTGTTTTTTCTTTTGGGAAATTTTTAAGCGGGTCGATTTGGGCTTTTTCCACACAAAAATTAAATAGTGAAAGTGAAAACACTTCTTTGCCGCCGCCTTTGGTTAGCAAAAGATTTAAACTGGGAGGAAATTCGGATCGGATCCGTGTACTGGGTGGAGCTTGTTATGGATTCTGTTTAGAGTGGGTCGATGGGCCACGAAAGAGCTTTGAGTAGTGTTTTTTTTTCCTATTACACGTTTGGATTGGGTTTATTTCACATTTGGACCCTATACAATTTTAATTTTTTTTATTGATACCCTTTATAATTTCTTAACTTGATTGAAACCTTTAATTTTTTAAAATTTTTTTATTCAGACCCTCCGTTATGACGTCATTAAAATCAACCTATCAATGATTGACACGTGGCATCATGAGTCTTAAATTATAATTTTTCCGTCTAAATTGAAAAAATAATAATTTAAATTGATTTTATCAATAAAATAATTCATAAAATTAAAAAATGAGAGGAAAAGACCAAATCATCACACTCCACTATTTCCAAACCTTTTTTTTTTTTTTCAAAAAAAACCATCCTCACTCCTCACTCTCTCTCTTTCCTAGCTTCAAATTTTAAGTTCGATTGTTTATAATAATACCAATAAAAGCAATCATTCATTTCATTGGATTAAAAATCGTGTGGTGCTCACATTATATGTACTATACCATGCTTGCTTGGGAATGAAATCGAGGCGAGTCATTGACTCATTATCTTGTATGGAAGAAAAATCAAGCGACCAGCTTTGGTGAAGATAAACATGCTTTTTAGCTCCCGGGTCGCCTATCAATACCCATCGCACTCCTCTCTTAGGTCTCTTTCTAGCTTTTAAAAAGACAATTTCCTTATCAACGACTCAATGGTCTTCGATTTGGTATTTCTTAATTTCTCTCAAGGCCATTGTTCTTAGCTCGAAACGATGAGGCTTCATCACTCCTCCATTGATCGAAGTTGATTTCCCGATTGTCTCGATGGTCGATTGCTTATTTAAGGCTTCACCTTATGGAGATTTTCTTGTTGTTTGCTTGGTACAAGCCATTGAAATGATTGACTTAGAAAACCTGGGTTTTCGAGCTTGTGGTTGTTTTTCAAAAAAATTACAAAACTTAAGTTTTGATTTTTTTGGTTGAATAGCAATTTAGTTTTGATGAATTTTATGAATGAGAGTGAAAATGAGGAAGGAGATGGTGAAATAGATGTTGCAATTAGGGTATGTGTTTAAGAAATATTGAGGATTTTTTGAGAAAGAAAGCGAAAGAAGATAGTAAGGAGAGAGAGAATAATTTTTTCTCGAAGAAAAAAAAATTAGATTAGGAAATAATGGAGTGGGGATGATTTGGTCTTTTCTTCTCTTTTTTAATTTTATGAATTATTTTATTGTTAAAATCAGCTTTTTTTTTTTTCAATTCGGATAGAAAAACTATTATTTGGGTCTAATGATATCACGTGTCAATCACCGATAGGTTGCTTTTAACGACGTCATAACAGAGAGACCAAATAAAAAATTTTAAAAGAGTAGAAGGTTTTAATCAAACTGAAAAATTATAGAAGGCCTCAATCAAAAAAATTAAAATTGTATAGCGTCCAAATGTGGGGTAAACCCCATTTGAATTGTATTCACACGTTTTATAACGATTTAATAGCATGATTTATCTCCAACCTATTTAGATTGTAGTAAAATAAAATTTGTATTATTAATTTGGATAATTTAGACATCAAATTATTAATTTTTGGTTAATTTTTATTCTTTTTCGTTATGTGTCAAAGTTTTTTATATGTGTTTTAGTTCTTTTTTTTTAAGAATTAAAATTAATTCAAAAAAATAGTAATTCAATTTTATTTTTTTTACTAGATAGATCCATTACACATCATTAATTATCTAACAACAAAATTCATATCAATAAACAATAAAATCATCTAAGTTTTTTTAAAGCTAACTATATATTACATTTTTTTTTCAAAATTAATTTTAATTCTCAAAGAAAAAAAACTTAATCATTTTTTTACTAGATAGATTCACTACACATCGTTAATTATCCAACAATAAAATAATCTAAACTTTCTTAAAGCTAACTATTATTAAATATTTTTTTTAAAAAAATAATTTTATTTTTTTAAAAAAATTGAAATGCTTAAAGCGACATCATTTTAAGTATTTCATTTAACTATAAAAATTTTGACTCGTCAAACATAATAAAGAGTTATAAAATTTGTTCAAAAACTTATAGTTTGAGGTTCAAATAGTTTAAATTGATAATATAAACTTTATCTTGCCACGGAAAATTTTATAATACACAAGGAGTAACTAGTGAGATGTACAGTACTTACTTCTTGGATCTACTTTAAGGAGAGAGATAGACACATAGAAAAAAGAGAAATTACATCCATACCCACCAAAAGTAATACATGCCACTAATTACTCTTGTGTATTATAAAATTTCTCATTTGCCACTACCTCAATAGTTTTTTTATTGAATTATGCCATTAAATCGTTTTATAACGGAAGGTATATTACGGGATTACTCCAATCTATAAATATAATATTAATTAATATGTTTCGTAAATATATAGGAAAAAACAATTATGACTACTAACACTTTGATTCCTGGGTTTTGTAAATAAATAAAAACTCAATGTATCATATGATTAAATTTTCATTTGACCTAACATTTTTATGTTTGTTCTGAAAGTATACGTACAGTTCATGAATTATGTTTAAGCAATTATATACTTTCTTAGAATTTTTTATAAAGCACCTTGACTTGCTTACAATACAAGCAAAAATTAAAAAGTGTATTTTATGTACACTAGTTATGTATTGATAACCTGTCTACAATCCAATCGTAGATGAACCCTAATTTTGGGTGAGGAAATTTGATTGAAAAATATCCAACCTTAAAACAAAAAAGCCTAAATATCATGCGTATAGGTAGAACATCTCAGGCATGGGCAACGGACGATCTCCCTCCCTTTATCTTGTACAAGTACAACTACCAGCAGACAATTCTCGGAACCATGAAAAAACAGTTTATGTCCTTGTTAAGCTAAATGGCTTCTCATTGCTCGAGAAGGCAAGGACTGCCCCATTAGATTTGCCTAGTGCCTGAGTTCATGACATTCAAAATTCATTGAGAATGGCAACAGCATTAGGATCACCTTTTCATGGAATGTATCGATATGTGAGAAGAACATCAACATTCACTAAAATAAACAAGCTTGCAATAGTAAAATGAAAAAAAAACAGGTAAAAAGACTTGCTCTAGCACCCAAACCAAAACATTAGTAGCTTTCAAGTAACATTGGTATTCAAACAATTGTAATTTGAACTTTACGGCTAAAATGTTTTAACTCTTTACCTTTTAAGTTTTAACCCTGAATTCTTAGGGATTGAAAATCAAAGGGCACAAAACAGATATGCTAAAGAACTCATGAACCCAGCTACAGAGAAACCCAAGTGCCACCAGGTCTACAGTTACTTACCACAAGCTCAAGATAATAGAGAAAGTAAAATAAACAGCTTACTATATACCAAACTAAAAATAATGACAAATAAAACAAACACAAAAAAAGATTAAAGTATCTCCAACTCAACTTGTGAAGGTAATTCTGATTGTAACTTTCGGGCATGACTCCTGGCAGCCTCCAGTTCCTTCACATCTTCAATCGGGCTCAACTCTTCTCCCAACCAAAATAATTTGCGTGGATCAATTATCAATTTTTGAAGAGACACAGCATACTTGACCAAGTCCAGCGCAAGTTCGAGATTACAAGGAAGACCCATAAACCCAACAATCTTTACCACCTTCAGGCACTGATGTTTTCGGCCACCAATAGACCTCCATGTAATCTCCCCAAACATTGCTTTAGGTCTTGGTCGCAACTGCAGTGATAATCTATGTAACGAAGGAGAAGCTTCTATCAAAGACTGGCAATAGAGGAGGCCCTCCTCATCAAAGGCATCCAATGTCAACTGCATTTTCTTGAGACTATTTAGCCCAGAAAAATTCTGCATCAGAATGCCCCCATTTATCTGAAATTCCAAAAAGTTAAGGTAATCATCAAAAGTCTTAAACCCTCGGCACAATGAAAGCTTCTCCAGTTGAGAAAGATAACTTGAAAAATCCAATAACTTATCTTTTAATAGATGATCACAATAAGGTCCCCCAACTGATACCTCGATAAGTCGAGGAACATCCTTAAGAGAAATGGTCGTCTTTTTCCCATGATACTTAAAAGACACTAGATTTTTGGCAGATATCTCAACACTTTCCACACGGTTATAAGCTAAAGTCAGGTATGTTAACTTCAGAGATGAACTAGAAACTTTCAGATTGCCCAGGCATGATGAACGTTCCACGTGTAACACTTCAAGAAGTGGAGAATTAGATAAAAGGTGCTCAATAACTTTGCCAGTCACCTCCACAGATATCAAATGCAGAGCAATCAGAGAATTAAAGCTGGAAGAGCTGCGTGACTGCAAGGGAAAACTGTAGGCTCCAAAAGGTCCTTTTGTACAACTCAAATCTAACCGAAACCTTTTAACATGTTTTTCCTTCGCAAAATGGATCCAACTATCGATTTCACGTTTATACTGATCCACATCGAAACAAATCTTGAGTTCATCAACACTCAAACCCTGATATTGTTTCAAGGCTTGGTTCACTGAATTCACAAATTTACACTGTTCAATTGGAAGAATCGACTCTCTCTCCTCGGTAGACTTATGCTTTATTTCCAACACAGTTCTTGAAGCATCAAAGTCCAGTAGACCAGGATAAAAAGTCCACAAGCATCTCCATCTTCTAGAGACGACACTGGTCCTGGCTGCTTCTCTAAATGTCAGTCGAGACAGAATGCTAACGAGAACATCATCAGGAATTCGACTGATGTAATCATTAGAACTGATGCACCAACTGGAACAGAGGGAATTATTCCGGCTTCTCTTAACCTTCTCCTCCCAAATCCATGAAAGCGCCCGGCAATCAACTAATTGTGTTACTTTGCTCACATCCAAATTATACGACGATCGCGTCTGCACTGCACTCTTCTTCATAATGGAAACAGCAATTTGGTTTTCCCTTTTGCTCCATAAGCTTGATTCAGTTACGGGCCGCACCATTTTCACTCTCTTTTTAACCTAAAACCACAACAGACTCTATTGAGAAGCAAAAGAGCAATTTATAAAGTCAGTACAGAGAGAATCAAGCAGAAGAAGGCTAATACTAAAACGAAATATACAGAAATACTAATTCTTTCCTTTGATCATGTCACTATATATATAAAAAAATCACATACATCTACATGTTAATTCTTCCTATCAGCTATGGGCAAATGCTAACATCTCCTATTTCTTTAAGGATCCAAAGCCCTCCTCCATTGAAGAAAATAATTCAAGAAAAGAACAACTTTTTAAACGAATTAATTCTGTGCACAGAGAAAACAAAAAAAAAACATTTCCCAGCAATTTAGTGCAATTTTTGAAAAAAATGATTATCAGTGGAATTATAAAAATTACCTCCCTCCATTGCTTGTTGTGAACAGGTAAGGGCTTGCTTCTTCGCACTTCCCAGGGTAAACAGAAAAGGAACGATTAGGGAAAAAGCAGAGGAGGATAGTTTTTATATGGTACAATTTCCTTTTCTTTTTTACTTATCGTGATAAGAAACCTAACACAAACGGTCGTGATTGGGCACGATGTAAAAATATAAGTAGTGTTGTTTACCACCGTAAACGAATTTAATTTAGTGTAACCTCTCAAATCGATTCATCCTTGTGTTTGCAGTAATTCGGCTAAAACGTCTACGTGAAAAAGATTCGATCAAACTTTTACCTTATGCCTTGTCTGGTGGTAAATTTTAATTAAATCAATCAGTTGGACTAAATTACATTAAATTGTAAGATAAATACTAATTAATTTTAAAAAATATTGAGAAATAAAAAAATAAAAATTTTAGGAAATGTTTAATTAATTATTTTTTTTTCAAAAGTTAGGAAATAAAAGAAATTATTCAGGAATTCTAAGTAATTATATTTTTTTCAAAATATTGAAATAGAAGAAATTCAAAAAAAAAATCAGTTATTAGAATTATTAAAAATATTTAAGATTTTTTTTTTTTGAAAAACTTGAAACTTTTAAAGATCTTTAAGGAGTAAGAGAAATTTGAACTGCTCAACTAAAAAAAAATTAAAACTGCCCAGCTATTAAAATTTATGAAAATATTTAAGTAAGTTAAAGATTATATTTTTTGAAAATAAAATTTGGAAATTTTAAAAAAGAAAAATATGTTTGCAATAACTTAGCCTTTTTTTTTTTTAAATTTTTACCAAATAAAAATTTTAAAAATTGTCAACTCTTAATTATTTGATAATTTTTAAGGAATAGAAAAATTAGTTTGCAAAAAAAAAAAAAAAAAACAACATAAATTTTAATATGAAAAAAAATGAAATGCATAGACAATTTTTTTTAGAAATGCTCGGAGTTAAACGAGAGAAACAAGAGGTGTAAATGAATAATATTTTCTCAATATGTTATGCGAGTTTAACTCTCCTTTTATAGTGATACAAGTTTTAAGTTTACAAGACTCTAGATATTTACAAACTAAATGACTAATGACAAACACTTATAAGAGTTAGAGTTTCTATCTATTTACAAACATTATCTTAAGAGAACAAGTTGTTGTTGAGATATCTACTAGGAGAAGCCATGGATGTTGTCTGAATAGGAACAAGTGTTGCTAGTATAGATATTCAAGATCTAATTGTGTTTGGATGGTTCGATTTATTGTATCATTACATTTTTATATTAATAAAAGAAGTCTTTCTATTAATTCTTATTATTTATAATTTGATAGAATTAGATAGAAGTCCATATGATATGTATTGTATTAATAATTGATCGAAGATGTGAAACAAACATTAATTCATTTAAATGATATCATTAAATGTCTCAAGTCGTAGCATTGTTAAAAATGGATATAGACTATATACGGTAAGACTTGTGAGTGCTATACTTTTGCTATAAGGTAATAATAGGAAATCTCACGAGTTATTAGCATGGTGATATCAAAACAAACACTTAGGTAATTAATGTTGAGATTGAGTCTATTAAATAATTTTTAGCTATCATTTTTTTCTTTAAAAAATTCAATTCTTAGCATTTTGAGCTAAAATTTTACAAACACATTAGAAAAAATTCAACCTATTTTGTTGAAAAGTTCCATATTTTTTCAAAATAAAAAATTGTATTTGTTTATTTTTTGAACATTAAAAATATAAAAATCGGGATAAATAGAAAATAACCCTAAAATGATCTCAAATTTTTTTGAGGAGCACCACATAAATCTCACTTGAATGAATTTTATCATAAAACTATTTATGCGATTGTTATTTTTAAAATAAATGATAAAAAGCTGAAAGATGAGTTAAATGTGAAAAAAAAATAAATGTTCAAATATACCCAAAATCAATAAGAAATATTTTGGAACTCAATCTTAAATGACTTAAATTTTAGAGATAGTTTAACCTTTTAATCTTATCTTTATTGTTATACCCTTTCTTATGCTTATGTTTTTCTTATCTTCTCCTTGCAAATTTTGAATTCTTTGGAGAGTGCATGGTCCAAAATGCCCCAAAGTTCACCTTACTCATTCTTCAAGACAATAGGCCTACATGCATACTTCCCCACAAGGACTCGCACATGCATGATATTAGGATTCATTAAAAAAAATCCTTCGTGTTAAATCCCTTAGAAGGCTACGAGGGAGTAGCTTTTGCAATATCGCATAAGTGCGACCTTAAGAGGATGCAAAAATACGACCACGACAAAGTTTACTCACAACACACACACACACATTTTTAAAAGACTAAAAAAATTCCTACTATGCAGGGGGCAAAATATAGATACTTAGATATTTTTTAGCTATTTTTGTATTTATTAACGTATCCTTTTTGTTATTTTCATAAATGTCTAATATCTACCTTTTTTCTTGCATGAGTTTGGAAAGGTTACCAAAATGAATATCAAGGCACGGCAACACTTTGCTCGGGGCTTTGGTTTTCAAAGACCGATCAAAGGCATGTAGTAGGACTTATAAGTAGGCTTGGCGTGAAGTGGGAGAAAAGGGATTTCATAAATGGGGAGATGGGTTCCTCAAGTCTATAAGAACCTTTTTTTTTTTTCCTTTTCTTTTTTCTCTCTACCTAGAGAGGCTTCTTTCTTCGGTAAACCTTAAACCTTTAAGAATGCTCGGAGGGATTTGGTCCGATAGCTTTAGAGCAAGACTAATAAGATTTAATAATACCACCTTAACTTTTCTTAATAGTTTTAAAAGCCGTAGCTAGCACTACAAAAAAACAATAAAATAGCGAAAAAAAATTTACATCATTAAATCATCATTTTCCATCACTTGTTTACATTTAGTGACAGATTTGTGACAATATTTTTCAGTAATTAAACCTGTCATTATTATTTTGTTAGTGATGGGTTATATATCGCTAGTATGAAGCATTTGTTCGCTAAAATTAAAGTAAATAATTATCTTTCAAGTCTTGAATATGTCATAAAATAGTCACGGTTTCCCTTTTATTAGTGCTATTTAGCGATGAAAATATCATCGCTAAATCATATTCACCAAAATTCATCTTTATTTAGCAATTGTATACGTGTCCATCGTAAAAAAATTTAATTTTGATCGCTAATTTGATCATTGATCCATCACTAAATGAAGGAATTTTTTATATAAATTAGCCATTTAATGTTAATGGTAATAGCAAATAACTAAAATTAATACCTTATTAAAACATGATATATTATTTAATAAAATTAAAATAGTATAAATTAAAATTAAATAAATATATAAATGCATTCAAGTATACAAAAACATTAAAAACCTAATATATATATATATATATATATATATATATATATATATATATGTTCTCATCATCATCATCTCCTGCATCATCTTTTGGTGATTGGGCATTGAGAAAAACAACGAACTATTGGGTTGTGGACGGGTCGGCAAGAGGGATATGAGTCTACTACAAGTCTTGTAATAGCACCAACATTATATCTATTTGACTTTATAGAGTGTGAAATTTATCCTCTTGTTCTTGGAACCTGCGATTATGGTCAACCTCCACCCCTTTATCATATCTTTGTACTTGGCGGTAATCTTCGAATATTACCACAAGGACACCGGAGGCCAAGTGGACACGAGAATGAGAGTAATACTGGGATGCTTGTGTTTCGAGGTCGTACACTCTTTGCTTCTTCTATGACATTGAAATATATCTTGATCATGTCGATGTTTGGAGACAATGAATCACCCTTCTATCGCTCCTTAACAATCGCTTCTTACAATGACTACACACCCCTACATAATTAAAATATTAAATCATAAATATAATTTTTAGATTATATTGATAGATGTATATTTATAAATATAAAAAATTTACCATTATTATCTAAGACCGCTAGTCAACAAATGACTCATCTTTACGCTTATGAGTGTTCGGGAACACCTCGTAAGAATTTGAGTTACAACCTAATTTATTATACTAAAAAAATAGACAAAATAATATAAGATGTAATAAATATAAATATTAATTTATAACATAAAAGATAATAGGATTTACCAAGTGTTCAACATGCTCAATTAAAGAGATTGACCCTTTCGTATGCCCGGATGGGCCAACATCGATACCACATGTCTTAGACATGTGATTCCAAGATGCATGTTGAGATCGAGCTTGAAACTCGGGTGTTGCCCAATCCCGACGCCATGCATCACACACCTGCTCTATAATAAACATAGGTTAATTGGTCTTATGCTTTAACTTGTTCGGTATGTCGATATCTCATCTTCGTGCCGGACTCTTCCATGCATTCTTAATTAGCGTGTCAACGGTTGCATCCCATAAAAATACTTTTATATGAAGGAAAAAAAATTAGTACATTTCATGTTAAATTAATACTTTAAATAAAATATAAATAAATAATTAATATGTTATTCTAAACTCATTAAAGTTAGGGGTGTTAATTCGGTTTCGGTGTTTTTTTTCGATTTTCGATTAACCAAATTGGCTAAAATAAAAACCGAAACCGAACCAAATTGATGT